GTGTTGGCATTGCTGGTGTCCGTTGGATCGACCTGTCCACCACCTCCGAGACCACTGACGGCATTGAACATGCCGGGGCATAGGAAGCAGACAAACGAGACCAGAATCAACTGGACCTCAGGCGAAGCAAACCATGGCAAGGTCAAGGGGCCAATTTTCAACGGCTTGTACATCCACGGCTTACCGGCAATGGTGCTATGACGGCCGGCCTCGGGGTCTGCGGTGATGGCGGGACCTTCCTTCTCGGGCTGGTGACCGTCTTCTGGCTTTTCGGATGACATGCTGGTATACTGTATGTCAAGAAGAACGAAGAGAAGCGATGGTGTCGATAGCCAATGGCCCCGCGAGAGACAGCGGGTGGATCAGACGTGATGAGCAGCAATGGGAATGTTTGTTGATCAGCAAACGTGCCCTAATACACCAGGATAGGTAATCAAGGACTGCAATCAAACAAGGAGAGAGGATGAAAGAAGTGAGAGGTGTATACGGGTATAGGTAGGTATATACGGATATGCAGAGTATGTTTAAGAAAAACAAACACAAGCCCCTACTTGGTAGATAGATGTATACAAGAGAGGCAGGATAAACAGCAAGGGGAGAAGATCGACGAAGACCCTTTGCGCCGGAAACAGAAGAAGGGGACAAAGAATGCGGGATGACGGGGGTCGGTATGTGCGTAACAGGGACAAGGGACCTAATATATAATAAAGTATGAGGGCCAACACAAATAAATATGTACGACTTGGATTACTCCCAAGAGGGAAAAGCCGATGTTTGTTTGTGTCAGACGAATCCGGGGTAAAGGGAAAAGGAGAAAGAAGAGTGATGATGATGAGAAAGAAGAATAATACGAGAGGGAGAGCGGCCAAACAAATAGTCGGTTGCGATGAGGATGCGAGGAGAGCTGAGTCTGGATCCCCAACCACAAAACCATTCAAGTTCAATGAATCTGATTGATTCAAAAAAGGAGAAATAAAATAATACTCTGAAACTGTGTCTGGAAGGGTTATTTTTAAATAAGAAAAAGGACCAGAGGAAGGAGAAGCTAAAGAGAAGTGGATTAAGGAAAAAGGAAAAAAAAAAAAGTTTCGAACGGCACTAAGAGGTAACACCAGATAGTCTAATGATAGTCAGATAAAGATGGATTACCAGATAGATGTCTACGATAAGCGAAGTCGCACTCGAGCGACAAGGTGAAAAGAGGCAGACAATGGTAGATAGATAGTATAGTAACACTCAATGTAGTGGATACAACAGAAGAGAGAGAACGAGAGAGAACGGAGGCGTACCTTATCCTTGGGAAAGAGTGCAAGGGTTGCGTCGAGACAAGAGTGGTCAGAGCTCCCAATCAATCATGTCCACAGTCAATCATATGATACCAAGGACTGTGTCTGGTGTCTTTTCTTTCTTGATACGAGTTGGTAGTAGTATACTCGGTAGTAGTTGATATGGCAGTGATACCTACAAGGATGAGGAGATAGCGTGCAGATTAGGGGAGAACTGAGAACCCTTGGATCTTGGATCTTGGGAGTGCAACGGACTCCACAACTCCTCCAGGATTATGGGGAATGCGGAGACACGGACAACTTAGTAATGAAAACAAAAGAAGAAGATGGCCAAGATGATGATGATGATGGATTATGGATAAAGGATGTCTTGGGTCGTACTCTCAAAAACAGATTAGTGTAGGGAACTGGAACGGCCTCGACAATCAATCCCTTATGATCAATCATATGCCATGAACAGCAACAGACAATAGACAAAGTTTCAAAGACCAGGTCGAGGTGACAGCCACGCGACAGATGGCAAATTGAAACAGTGACAGGTGAGATGGAGTCGCGTGCTTAGCGCAAAGAATGAGACTCTTGCAGTTGTATCCGATTAGTCTCGCTTAGACTGATGCTTAACGACAATATTGGTACTACTTGACATTAATTAATACTAGGTAGTATGGTGGCTTCCTTGACTTAGTCTTATTTTTGATCACTGTCACCATCAATTAGTTTTAAAATGTTTGCTCTTCTCAATAACATGCGAGCGAGACTGAGGCAAACCACACTACATTGGTCTCAAGAACAAAGATAAGCTGACAAGCTGGCAAGACCGACCGAGTAAGAGCGAAGGTGCCTATCTGCGTATCTCTGTTGTGTGGATAACTGCCTATCAAATGAGCAGTGGAACTGGTGAAGTCTGGAGATTTCCTCCTAATGGTTGGATTTTAGATATCTCCAGACTAGACCCAGAAGAACCAACAAAGACCAACGTGACGGTAACATCGGCCGTTCGCATCTGTGCAACTGTACGGATGCGGGAGGCCAGTGAGAGTCTCTCGTTGGCTCAAGTCCGACATTTGAGGTAGTACCGGGCACCGGTCACGGGTTTGGGTGCTCCTCGGGTCAAAGTAGTATCGGTCAGCTAATCAATTCCCCTACTCCCGACCGAGGAAGTGGTGAAATAATACCGAATCTACTGATGAAGATGGGATGACTTAGAATCCATAGATGGCCCATGTAATAGGATTTATATTGAGAATTAAATGGTCAGGTAGTCAGATGATTACCTTATTTCATATTTCTCTGCTTCAAAAAACTATGCTCACTGACAGTCTGGAGAGTAAGGTAGGTACCTAGGTACCTTCATTCAGATGCTGATATGGTATTATATTACATACGTGCGGTCATTGCTTGTAATTCGTATGTTATATTATTGTATTCGTACCAAATCTGTATGTAACCAAAGCGAAATCTGTTTCAACAGTACGATCCTCCTGGCTTACGTAACCTATGTGATATCAATCCCATGATGATCATCACCTCGGAACAGAAGAGGCAAGCCTGTTATCATCCATGGATCAGTACTCCCAAATCGACTTGTTAACGTTCGAGTTTGCTTTGATAAGTCCTCTTTATTAGCTAAAGGGTAGCCATGCCTCAAATGACCATGTATGTCGCATCCACGTGGAGTCTGAATTGGCTTAGTAGAGGTCGTACGAGGATTTTCCATCCACCACCTTTTTCGACGTCACATCCCATAATGGTTTTCTTTGATCCTTCTGCCCCTCCGTCGTGGAGCAACAGCGTATGTTCCTTTGATGTCACCATCATGTAGCCAGGCACTGTCATTATTGTCCCTTGTTTCGCTTGTTGCCTCCAAACTCTGTTCATATACGTCCATGTGGATTTCACCTTGATTTTCATCTCCATCCGCCGCAGGTATCAAAATATATCCACATACTCTCTCTACCTTTTCCCAGCGATTAACTTCATCCTCACTGTTTGCGCTTCTCCTATCATAAGCGTATAAAGCGAATACCACCTGGTGGTACATCATAGGTGTAGGAAACGAAAGAGTCGGAGCCATCATCATGCCAGGCAAAACGACGACTACTCCGCGCATCACCAAGTTCACCAACTGTCGCATCGTCAAGGGTTCAGAGCTTGTTGAACAGGATGTCTGGATCGATTCTCTGTCGGGCAAGATTCTCAAAGATCAAGAGGCTTTCTACGGATTACATCTTTCGCCGGATGAGGTTATCGACCTCGGCGGCCGTATTCTCGCTCCGGGATTGATCGATGTCCAGCTGAACGGCGCTCAGGGTTTTGACTTCTCTGTGCCTCAAGCGTCCAAGGACGAATATGATGAGGGTTTGCGCATGGTGAACAAGGGCCTTGCCAGGACCGGTGTAACTTCATATTTGCCGACTGTTGTCAGCTCGACCCCAGAGGTTTACTGGAAAGTATGACGGCCCCAGCCGGCCCCCAAAAAATCAACAGATCTGACTAAATACTCTTCCAGGTATTGCCCTCTTTGGGTCCTTCGGGCAGCAACCATCGTCCTGAAGACGGCGCGGAATCGTTAGGAGCTCATATAGAAGGGCCTTTCATCAACCCAAACCGCAATGGCATTCACAAGACCGAAGTTCTTCGTGCTGCGCGGAATTTCGAAGATTTAGAGGAGTGTTATGGGAAGGAGAATCTTACCGGAAGCTCCAAGTCAGTCAAGATGATCACAGTCGCCCCCGAGGTAGGAAACATGGTATCGACCATCCCCTCATTGACCTCCGCCGGCATCGTCTGCTCGATCGGCCACTCGGATGCGACATTCGAACAAGCACTCTCAGCGACTACAGTAGGAGCTACAATGGTCACGCATCTGTTCAATGCGATGCGGCCCTTCTACCACCGGAACCCCGGCATTTTCGGACTGCTGGGCCAGAGCGAACACTGCAGGCCCTTCTACGGCATTATCGCGGACGGTATCCATCTCCACCCGACCTCGATCAAGATCGCATACAACGCCCATCCGGACGGGCTCGTCCTCGTGACCGACGCAATGAAGCTCTGCGGCCTTCCCGACGGTGTCTATGACTGGACGAACGGCGAGCGCATCGTCAAGACGGGAGCCCGGTTGACCCTGGAAGGATCCGACAAGATCGCAGGTAGTTCGGCCACCCTGATCGAGTGCGTCAACAACTTCCTGCGCTGGTCTGGCGCCTCTATAGCCGATGCCATTAATGCTGCCACCGCGACTCCGGCGCGCTTACTGGGGTTACAAGGTGTCAAGGGTACCCTGGACAGCGGTGCAGATGCGGACCTTGTCGTGCTGAGCGAGGAGGACGACCCCGACTCGCCCACGCTAACTGTCTGCCAGGTGTGGAAACGGGGAGTCAAGATCCATGACACTGATAAAGGAGTCACGTCTACGAATACAGTATGAAGCAGACACCCTGGCATATTCGTTCCTCTTTTTTCTTTTCTCGCCTCTGGTAATTGCTCCGGAACACTGTGCACACTTCCTTCCAACCTCGACTAGCATACTATGGCTCTGCTGTGGATTTTACTGCTCCTCAGTCTTTATCTTTCTGTTTTCCGACGCTGTGCCCTGTATCCAATCCAGAGATTCCGGAGATTTATCTTGCGCTACAGGCCCTTTGCCCAAAGGGCCCTCTGTCCTTTTTAGCCACGTGCAGCAAGTACTATAGATATGAGGATAAAGATATTGCCCAGACTATAAACTAGATTTAAAGACAATACATCATTAGACTTGTTTGTTGGTTCCTCTAAAATGTATCAGTGCTCGTATTTCGTGGTATTTCTTGTCTATTTCTCTTTTGTCACCTTTTGCTATATACAGCATATTTTTGTGTGAATTGCTCTCTGGACAAATATCCAAAAAGGAGCCAGCATCTGTATATAAAAAGGCATCATGCAATTTCCAGGCCAACACCACGCTAAAAAGCATCCATCATATTCGAACTTCTTTTTTTGCGCGCTTTTCTACTCCAGTGATCCCAATACAAGCACACCACCCAACTTTGCACCACTCATGATCCCGCATGAAGTCAGTCGCTTTATGGAATATAATTGGATGGGCGAAGACAGGCATCTCGACAAAAGGAATGCTTTGCCAACTAAGAGCCATTTTGCATGGCTCCGCGCACCCCGTGTACCAGGAATGCACAAGCAAACCCGCAAGCTTGGAAAACAAGGCCTTCTACAGCTTGGGCTGTTCCCGAGTCCAGCCTGCCTCTTCAGCGATCAGCTCGGCAGCGCGTTCACCGATAGCCAGCACAGTCAGCATCGGGTTGATGGTCGTCATCTCAGGGAAGACTCCAGCGTCCGCAATACGGACATTCTTCAGACCACGGATCTTAAGCTGGTGGTCAACAACAGCCATGGGATCGCGGGAGATATCACCCATCTTGGTGGTACCAGCAGGGTGGTAGACCGTGTGAGCCACACGGCGACCGTACTCTGACAATTCCTCATCAGTCTGGACCTTAGGTCCCGGCGCCACCTCACGCTTAATCCAATCCTTGAACGGAGCCTGCTCGGCAATCCGGCGCGCAGCCTTGAGACCGGCCACGATGGTTGCGGCGTCGTAGCCTTCGGGGTCAGTGAAGTAGCGGAAATCCAAAGCCGGTTTCACGGAGGGGTCTGCCGAGGTCAGGTATAGACGACCACGAGAGCGGGGGCGAGGAATGTTGGGTGTCATGCAAAAGGCATCAACGGGGGTTTCATAGCCCAGACGGGTCGTGTTGAGGCAGAAGGGAATCTGGTAGCAATGCATCATGATATCGGCGGCACGGCCATCGGAGCCAGCCGCATTGGGAACTTCGCGCCGCAGGAAGATGCCCGCATCCGAATCCATGGTAGTCTGATTGGGGGGCACAGGACGGTTGAGTTCCCAAATGATAATACTCTCTGGGTGATCGAGGAGGTTTTCACCAACACCAGGCAAATCCTTGACGACCGGAATCCCGAGAGAACTCAGCTGCTCACGGGGTCCCAAACCGGAGAGGAGCATCAATCTCGGCGTATCGACAGCACCGGCACAAAGAATGGTTTCCTTCTTGGCTCGCAAGGTGTGTTTGACACCGGATTGCAGAGTCACGTTAACACCAGTGACGGTGTCTCCTTCGACATTCACGCGAGACACCCACGCGTTGGTAAGGATTGTCAAGTTGGGGCGCTTCTCCTCACCGCGCAGAATAGGGTGGATGTATGCTACACTAGCACTGCTGCGACGGCCATCATCTGGATTGTACGAGACGGAGAAGAAACCAACACCCTCCGTTAGTTCACCCTTGGAACGGATTTCCTTGTTGAAATCGTGGATGATGGGAATGTTCATGGCAGTCGAGCAAGCCTGCACCCAGTCCTTGCACAGCTGGTTTCTGTGACGGCTGTGAACGGGCTGGACAGTGTTCCGCAGGTTGTCGAGGACGCGAGTGAAGGTCTCAAAGGACCAGCCCTTGCAACCCTGCTCCTCCCATCTTCTGCAGTCATACTCGAAGGGGCGGAAGGAAATGAGAGTGTTGTGGCTGGAACAGCCACCCAAGACCTTGGCGCGAGAGTGACGGATATGGCTGTTGCCTGGAGAATAAAAAGACGGTCAGTAACTGACAGAATTGCTAAGTAGTCCGCAAGGGCACGCGGATAGAACAGAGAATGTGCGAAGGATACACACCCATGGGCTGCTCTGTGGTGGGATAGTCATAGTCCAGCTCGCCTCCCAGGAGGTTGAGCCATTCCCGGAGGTTAAGGACTCTATCATCCATGAAGTCGCTGGGACCACCCTCAATGACTAGAATTCGCTTATTGGGCAAGTACTGAGCCAGCCGACTAGCAATGACACAGCCGGCCGTGCCACCGCCGACAATAACATAGTCATAGCTATTGACGTCGGATGCAGGGAAATCGTTTGTGGTGGCCATGTCGAATGATAATGGAATGAATGATTGCAGGGCGCTGTCTACTGGTGCGGAGAACAAACCCGGGATGAATTGGTGAGGAAACAAGAGGATTCCGGCGCCTCTGGAGATCGACAAGAGAGGAGAGACTGGGTAAAGAGGGCGGAGGAGGCAATGAGACGGTTTAGAAAGACAAAAGTAAAAAAGTGTAGAATCATAACGGAATGCTGATAGATTTTAAATTGAAGGACGGAATTAAGTTAGAGACATGGGCCTCAGGTGTCCAGGAGGCTATCCATCCGTTCGCCGCCAATCTTTTTCCTCTTTTTCCTCTTCCCTAACTTTTCCCCACCACAAGAAAAGGTGCCGAAAGAAGGATCAGCCAATCGAAGGCAAAAATCTCCTTATCCCCCGAAGAACGCAGGCCGTATTAGATAATGGAAACACGGTTTAATATGGCCTGATACTGGGCTCGGATTGGACTATAATCATCATCTTCCGCTTCAATGGTTGATCGACCGCACCTAGAGGTAATGTAACTACCTTACTACATCGATCTGCGTGCTGAGTGAAGACTACTATGATATGCAGGTACTTAGAAGGGTCCCGTCCGTACTGGAGTAGGCACCTCATCGTCGGCCGCGTTCGTTTTTATATTTCAAGGACGACTGTACCCGCGGGTTGTGATGTCTGGTCGGACGAAAAGGTCACTCGACGTCATCGAAAGACTCCGCAGCCCACACGACTTATGAGGGCTTTGAGACTAAGACGACGCCACGATCCACGAACTCACACTAAGCCAGTCGCACTAATTCATTAACGGTTTGAACATCCTTCGGAGGCTCGTCAACCGTGCTAGATCCTGGATTCTATTACCCGCTTGGTATAAGAGTAAGACAGCACGGTTGTGCATGAGTTCTTTCCCCCTAAAAGATATTATTTACTGGAGACTCTGCTAATCATGTCCAGATGGAGTATTAGAATGCAAGAAAGTTCGCTTCATAAGGCGACGCTATTTGGATATCGGTCTTGTCCCGTGTTTCCTATTGGAGGCCATTCCTTAATTTCCCCATCCATCCCAGCCTCTCTTTAGCTTTTGACGCTGTTTGACCATCGCGTGGCTAGTCCTACACCATCAAAACTTGGTTTCATTGTTTGGTTGAGCAGTATCTACGGAGGGGCCCTACCGCCCCAGCACCCAGGAGTAGCTGTGGATTCGCTCCTCAAAGATTACAGGATTCTGCTACTACGTAGTACGGAGGAGCACTGGGACAACAGGACCTTTTCGGATACTCGGAAGAAAAGTTCAACCACGATCTCACAGGCCTCCTGTTGACCAATAGGTCTGATGTGGAGTTGGTTTAGTGGTCGTAGCCACAGCGGAGCCTGTCCTCGTCAAATGAAGATGGGGCGGAATTATGAGGCGGTGTGATTCAGATATGAATACATCACCGGTCAATAATGAGGCTAACTATCTGCACCTATCTGCGGAGTACTATCAATACCTCTCTAGTACTCTGAGCAACCTGCCAGTAACACACAGGGCAAAATATCTATCTCTCATATATCCTATTTCGATATCTACGTCGTGATCGCCCTATACAAGTTTCCCAGCGGCCCCCCTCAAGCAAAAAGAAAAATGGCGGACCTACCTTTCCCTCCTCGTCACCCATATTACGACGGCAAAATCCAGTCGGCGTCTTCCGGTCGGACTTTTCGCACAATAAACCCTGCCGACAATACTCCACTAGCTGAAATCCATGTTGCTTCAAATTCTGATACAGATGCGGCCATTGCAGCTGCTGACCGCGCGTTCCCCTCATGGTCGCAAACCCCTCATATCGCTCGTGCGCGCATTCTTCAAAAGGCCGCGACGTTGCTGCGGGAGAGAAATGACGAACTCGCGCGTCTCGAAACTCTAGATTCCGGCAAGGCCTATTCGGAAACAAGCACAGTCGACATCGTGACTGGTGCAGATGTACTGGAATACTATGCCAACCTGGTAGGAGGAGGGGGTCTCAATGGCGAGACAACACAGTTAAGAGAAGACGCATGGGTTTTCACCAAGAAGGCTCCGCTGGGTGTCTGCGTTGGCATCGGCGCATGGAATTATCCTCTCCAGATGTAAGTACTTCGTTGTTCTTGATCAGACGGAGCGCGCAAAACATATCACATCTGCTTGTCTCTCTTTTCTCGATCGGGCTTAGTAATTGACAAATGCGGCACAGTGCTCTCTGGAAATCAGCACCATGTCTTGCGGCTGGAAATACCATGATCTACAAGCCTAGTGAATATACGCCCCTGCATGCGCAGATGCTGGCTGAGATCTACCGGGAAGCTGGGCTTCCCCCTGGGGTTTTCAATGTTGTCTATGGCGCTGGGGATGTGGGTGCTTATTTGACCGCTCATCCCCTAATCGCCAAGGTCAGCTTCACGGGCCAGGTGGCGACAGGATTGAAGGTGGCCGGCTCCGCCGCGGGACAAATGAAGTACGTCACGATGGAGTTAGGAGGCAAGAGCCCATTGCTCATCCTCCCTGATGCGGATCTTGAAAATGCAGTAAATGGAGCCATGATGGCCAATTTCTTTAGTACAGGCCAGGTTTGCACTAATGGGACTCGGGTATTTGTCCCAAGAAGCATGAAGTCTGCTTTTGAGAAGGCTCTTCTGGACAAGATGCAATATATCCGCTCGGGACCTCTGTTTGACAACGCAACCAACTTCGGACCCTTGAGCTCCGCCCTTCACCTCGAAAAAGTAACCTCGTACATTCGTTATGGCATTGAGACGGACAAGGCAACGCTCCTCTATGGCGGGCTGGGAAAGCCCTCTCTTCCGAAGGAATTGGAGAATGGGTTCTGGGTGCGGCCAACTGTCTTCACGGACTGCACCGACTCCATGCGGATTGTCCAGGAAGAGATTTTTGGGCCGGTCATGTCAATCCTGTACTATGATACCGTCGAGGAAGCCGTTAGGCGCGCGAACAACACTGAGCTTGGCCTTGCGGCTGGCGTCTTTACGCGAGACCTGAATATGGCGCATCGTATCATCGACCAGCTCCAAGCAGGCATTACATGGATCAACTCCTGGGGTGAAAGCCCGGCCGAGATGGCTGTGGGTGGCTGGAAGAAGAGTGGTGTTGGCGTCGAGAACGGCCGCAGAGGTATCGAAGCTTGGGTGAGGAACAAGAGTACGCTGGTGGATATGAATGGACAGGTTGCTACTGTCTTTGCGAAATTGTAATCCAAAATGAATGAAAGTGTACAAATTGTCCGCTAAAGGAGCGATTGTATCAGGTATCTTGGTCAAGAAGAACCGTATCATTCTCATGGCAGACGTCGAAAACGGATTTTGAGACAAAAGTCAAAACAAATTTACTTCAAATCCCAGCTCCTCGGTGTTTTGTCGTTTTGCCATCTATGTATAAAAGATGTCTCAATACAGGTAACTTATCTTTGTACTTTGAAACTAGCCATTGGAACGATAATAAATTGGCGGGATATATAAAAGCTCTCAGGCAGAAAGAACGCCAACTGAGACGATCATCGAGAGCCAACTCTATACGCAGTAACTAGTTGCTATGCAAAGCGAACAAATATATCTATGAAGAAAGCAAGATCGGCCTATACAACACAACACACTCATAAATATGACAAACAGTCGTCAGCAACGGCGCGCGAACAAGTCTGCTGTATGTTCACCCTACGCTCTTGAACTTTCAGACAATAGCAAATCCTCCCACGGAGGTGTCCAGTATTTTTGTTCCCAATAAACTGTGACAATCTGAGTCGCGAACTTCAATGAGATACGACTCTCGCGCCCATCCGATCGAACATCATGTCGGCTTTGAGTGTCGAGTCCAACCCCCAATGGCGGAGTCCACCAATCGAGACGACATGCTATCAGGCGTCAATTCATCTTCCTCTATAGAGTTTTGAAACTCTGTGTTGATCCTCAGGTCCTTTGGAGCTTTGGGGGTGTCGACGCAGGGTTGAGCTGCTGCGGCAATTTGCTCGCCCCCAATGGAGCAGGCACATAGGTCCTTGGTCGATAGACAAGTGGCGGGCCTTGCGTACGAGCATCTGTTCCAGACTGCTCGATTGACTCGAAATAACGGACTGTCTTGACCTTCAACTCCAAGGTAGCATCGCGGTCGCATACAACTAGCGGGTGTTGATGCAACTGCAGTGCTGACAGTGTCCACATGTGATTAACACCGCCCTCAAGGCCCTTCTTCAACGCAAGAGCTTTGTGAGCGCCCGTTGCCACGATGACCACTTCCCTGGCCTCCATTATAGTCTGAATGCCAACCGTCAAAGCCATGCGGGGAACTTTGTCAACATCGTTGTCGAAAAATCGCGAGTTGGCAAGAATTGTATCGTACGCCAACGTCTTCACCCGGGTTCGACTGCTCAACGAGGATCCCGGCTCATTGAAGGCAATATGGCCATCAGCTCCAACGCCGCCCAGGAAAAGCTCGATACCGCCATGGGCGGCGATCCGGGCTTCGTAGGAAGCACATTCGGCAGTCAGATCTGGGGCGTTGCCATCTAAGATGTTGATATTCTGTGGAGGAATGTCGACATGCGAGAAAAAGTGCTTGTACATAAAGCTGTGATAGGATTCGGGGTGGTCACGAGGTAAACCCACATACTCGTCCTGAGTTGATCAGCATATGGCAGCATACAAAGAGTCATGATAATATAAATGAGAAAAATACCATATTGAACGTCACGACATTTTTGAAAGATATTTCACCTGCCCGGTGACGCTGCACCAGTGTTTTGTATATAATCTCGGGGCTGCTGCCAGTGGGAAGACCCAAAACGAAAGGACGATCCTGAGTGGGTTTGAAAGACTTAATACGACCTATTGGGTAGCAGAGAATCAAGTGTTAGAGAGAGAAGTAACCAAGTAAGCCTCATCGACAAGATCAAGGTTGAGCGTACTGATGATATAGTCGGCGATATATTCCGACGCCTGCTGAGCGTTCTCCCTGATGATAACTCTCCTACAGACGTGTCAGAAAGTAGCGAAAAAGCTTCTTTTTCTTTATCTCCCATCTTGAAAACGCCCCTTGACGTCTCTTGACGTCTCGATGAAAGTGGCAGCACGCAGAAGTAGAAGGCATACTTACATGGTGATTTTATCTGTAGTCGTACGTCACTCCACCAAAAGGTTTAGCCGATAAGGGCTGATAAGATGGCAGGGCTGAGATCCGCAATATCAGAGCTGATTATGGCAAGAAAGGCTTCGTTCGCGGTCAGGAAAGTAGAATGGATCTATCGCGCCGTGTGTGTGAAAATCAG